CCTGGGTATATACACATAATTACCTATTATAACTATCCTTCCTACATTATATGAATTGGTAGGGCAGCGATTTGTAAGTATTAACTAGTAGACTCTTAATGAATACTTGTTAAATGAAATCTTGGTCAGGTTTCTATTGCTTCATACCGTAGTTTTTTAATAGTACAACTTTCTAAGTTCTGTTGTTAAATTTTCCCATTAAATATTCCTATCCCATCAAGTTATGTCTTTAGTGTCCAACTTTCAATTTCTTCCAAAGCATGTTTGCATACTTTTTTCCTACCTTATATAGGTTTTCATTTTCATTTTCTAAAATAAATCCCCTCCTCTATTCTGACTAAAATTTTCTGAGTGACGCATTTCAAGCACATGGTGAGCTCTGCCATTCAGTTACTGTGGCTAGAACTTATCCTTTAAAGTCTAGCTTTGTCCACAACCTTCTGTAAGGTGCTTTTGAAAACGTGTCTTTCCTCTGTACTTACTGAAAGTCAATACCACAAAACTTTGCCTCTAATTGTTCATATTTTTCCATAACTTTAGTACCGTTTCCCTTCTCATTCAAAAATTCCTTCTGACAACTTAGTGAACAGTGTATTTGTGTCACCACACAGAAAATAATTCTCATGATTTCCCTCTCACTTTTCTCCCTCAATTCTTCAACTCATTGGTTTTAACATATGCCTTTTAAATCTTCCAATTTCATGCATTGATACTAGTATTTCAAATGGCTTTCATGACTAATTATTTAGTTTGAAGTTGGGTTTTTTTGGTTCCATTCTGGTTTGGAAGATGTTCCAGAGGTAATTTATCCCCCCTAGCTACTCCAAAATTACATAGAACAGCAGTAAGTATGCCAGCTAACCAAGTCTTGAATCCACAAGTATAGAGTAACCCAAGTAAGAATTTTTTCAAAATGATGTGCTTAGAAGTCCTCAGTAAATGTACGGAAGTTCAAAGCATTCATCTGGAAATCAGTGAGGTGGAGTGAATTTTATTAAAAAATACATATGTTTAGTGGGAGGTGGGGGTGGGGTTGAGAGAAAGGAGAGTAAATGCAATAATTACATACCCTAGTGCCTTCAATGTTGTGATTTCTTGAGTATGGATAAAATGCTCCAAGTTGCGTCCAGCGGGTGCAGAGGTGATATTCTGAATCATTGAAGAAACCACAGATATCTGCTCCAGTCTAAAATACATTGTTGTATTTACTTAGTTTTAAGTTAGTTTCTTAATATTTATAAGTGATAAATATAAACAGAATAGAATTACTTACATATGAAATTCCAAAGAGACTAAATTCCATCATACCTTAAAAAAATTAGTAAAAATGTCTTAGAAAGCTACAGTTTCATATACATATCGATATGTTTTATTTATAAATATGTTCCATTTCTAATACCAACTTCTAATTCAAACATTTTTTAGATTATCAACATACTTTTCTATCATTTTTTTTATAATTTTCATACTTTTAAGTTTATAGTGTTAAGGACATTTATCAAAATAAAACAGGATATGCTTCTTTACATTTTAAGATAACATATTTAAAGTACAAAGTTCTTATGAACACATTATCGTGTGAGAAGAAAGTGATAGTGATTTCCTTGATTTCATGTTTCATAATAAAAGGCTATCTTTGTAATTATTTAATTAGAGTTCTCATCATTTGAAATAAATTGAATTATTTTTGTTAAATAGAATCTTCTGAGGAATGATCACTTTGATAAAATGTGATTTCCCAACTCTTCTTTTGAAGGACTATTTCTAAGCATTATGTGTTTTCCTTGAAACCTAGGTGAATAGTAAAGCATTTTTAAGACCAGATCTCCAACAGAAAAATATCCCTTTGCTCTTTAAAATGGCAACGTCTTACTTACTCTTTACCCAATCATTGCCAGAAATCTCTTTCTAAATGTGGTTTAAAATATTCTTATTCCCTAAAATCTAGAATTTCTACTCATATCTATTCTTAGTTTGTTATTTTTCCCATCCCCTTCCCTTTCAAACCATGAAACTGAAACAGAAAGTGATGAAATTATTTTCTCAAAACAAACTAGTTGGAAATCATTAGTTTCTATACAGAACCCCAGATCCTGCTTTCTGGCCCACTACTTTATCGTGGGGCTATTTGTCATAAGATATAATGCCAAAGCATTTTTCTGAGATGCACTTATAAGGTATATGAACAAATGCCAGAAAAAGTGAATACTTAATATAAAACTAAAAGAATGATGATAAAGATGGTGACTCTCACATACCGATGATCGATTTGTCCAAATTGTCCCACCTTGCATAGTTGTCTCCAAGCCAGTGTCCCCCCCATCGTCCAGCAGTAGGATATGTGGAACGAGATATAACAATTCCTCTCTTGCCAGTTGCCTTCTGCAATGCACTAATGAAAGTGAAGAAGGATTTACATTAGGTATTTTCTTCAAATATTTCTACTTTTGACCATTCCATTCATAAAAAGAATTTGATTTGTGGTATTTATGTTGGTTCTTATTACAACTAGCTCTTTATATGTGAGTCTTGTCTCACTATACTAGAAAATTCTCAGAAGTATGAAGGATGTCTTTTTTCTTCTAACATTTACTAGATTGACATACTTGAGTGGCCTGCCTGCATTTATCTATTCAATGGACACAAGTTAAATCAACTATTTGTATTATCAAATCAACTAAAGATTTTAAAAAATTTAATGAACTTATTTTATTCTACTTAAATGTGTTCTCTTGAATAAAGTTCTAACTATTGATGGCCCAAACCCTTCTAATGTTTGGCTTAATACTTAATTTTTGTATTACTCTGCAGAGAATCCTTGCTATAATATCTCTTGTTGTAGAGGCTAGTTTAAAGAGTACAAGTCTTTCCTGGATCTTAAAAATAAAAGTAATTTTTATATTTTAAGAATGGAATTTATTGAAAGCCAGGTCAAGAGGATAGAATTTACAAATAAGGTCATTTTTACCCTCCCCTCCTCACTCTTTAAAGAATGATTTTAAAGACTTATTGTGCATTCTAGTGTGAATAATAATGCATTACTTTTTATTACATCTCTCTCTCTCTCTCTCTCACTCTCTCTCTCTCTCTCTCTCTCTCTCTGATACTGCATTATAAGAACATGTAAAATAGATAAAATATTTGAAAATTATATTAATTGGAAAGAAAATATTTATTTTCTATTACTCAAAATAATTTGTATATGCATTAGAACTAGAGATCTACCACAGAGAAAATACTTCAGATGCCTAAGTAGGCAGACTTTACAACTCACTAACATATTCTCAACAGCATCTAATCATTTATTTGCTATCGCATGGGCCACAGTGTTTGTACTGATTTGCTTATATATAGAGCTTCTTCCATGAGTCCTTGAGAGTCCTGAGGTTAAGGACTTTGTGCTAATCTTTTTTGTGCCCCTTATATCTAACACAGTACTTGGCTTATAATAGTAACTCAAGAAAAAATGTAACTCAACATTTAAAACTTTAATATGTTTAATTTAAATAACAAACATGGTTGAAATCTTTTTCTGAAAAATGTATGTACTAGAGCAAAATTAAAACTATTAAAGACATGTTTTATGACTTTATATTAAAGGTTGTTCTTCAGAAGATAGTATTGATATCTTCCCCATAATATTTTTATTAGTTAAAATGGATCTTAAACATCCCCAAGTACCTTTAAATGTCAACTATTTAAATTTTTACCTATGGTTGCCTTGAATTTATTCATACAACTTTGATAGTTGCAGTGGGATAATAATAGATTCATTTAAATTTACTAAGCTTTCCACAATGTGTCAGGAACCATGGTAGATTCTGTCATGTGCTCCAGAAGTTCAATTACCTGCCCTCTGAAGAAAAATATTTCTTTCAATTTCCCTTAAATTACATATTTTCATCTTTAAATGCATAAGTTTTGCCAGCAAGATGAGTCAATTCTCAATATTTTTGTTCTTTTTAATATGTATATTTTATGGTAAAGTAAGGTTAGCTGAGGATAATTGTGTTCCTTTATTATATTCCAGCATGGTTAATTTAAAAAAAAAGTGCTTTTCTCAAAAAAAGGTATTGTTAAAACCAGTTTGTTTACTCTTAAGAATGTCATATCCTAGTCTTTGTATCTGATCTTAGTGACCCTACATTTGGATTTGGTTAATAAATCTGTAGACATTCATTCATGTAATATCTCAAATAATTCACATATTCTGTGTTGAAAAATAGTTTCATGCTGGAAATAGGATAAGCATGTTTCACTAAGTGAGGAAATATTACACATATTCTTTAATCCCAAAAGATTCTCATTTTTTTTACCTACTTCATTCATATACTAGAGCAGTGATTTTCAATTCTGTTTCACTAAGTGAGGAAATATTACACATATTATTTAATCCCAAATGATTGTCATTTTTTACCTACTTCATTCATATACTAGAGCAATAATTTTCAATCCTGGATTGAAATTAGAATCACCTGATAAATTTTTAGAACCCAAGATTCTTAGGCTACCTACTATACACCAATTAAATTAGAATTCACTAAAAATATCCAGGCAATTACAATGTGTAATCAAGATGCAATGTTCTAGAGCTGTGTTGTGTCATATGGTGTCCACTAGCCACATGGGCTATTTAATAAACCTAGATTTATTCAATTAAATAAAATTTTAAATCCCATTCCTGAGTAACACTAAGCACAGTGGTCAACAGCAATATATAGTTAGTAGCTGCATATTAGACAATCCAAAATTATTGAACATTTCTATCATTGTAGAAAGTTTTATTGGACAGTGCCAATAAAGACTTGATACTCAAAGAATGGCCTGTGTTCCATTATCTTTAGCCCTCACATAAGAGTTTTTTTCATATGGACATTAAAGTTTGAGAAGCTCCAGGTCATTCACACATACTCTAATTTGCTAATCGTGGATTTAAATAACATATTTATCCAAGCCTTAAGGTCTTAATTAATGATATCAGATTATATATTATTTATTCATTCATTCAAAACCATTTGTTGAGCACCTACTATGTTTTAGGTGTTATGCTGCTATAAAATGAGTATATTGTGGAGAACAAAGTCAGATACTTTAATGTTTTTTGAAAATGGGGTAAAATTTAAAGCAATCGTGGAAATAAGAGAGAGAGAGAAAAAAGGAGAAAAAGGGAGAAAGGAAAAACAGTGTCCTAAGGACACTTGGTCGTCTCTAAGTGTCATTCAGGACCAAGTAAGTTACAGAGAAGATTGGAAAGAAAAGTGCTACAACATAAGGAGAGAAAAGAAGGATTCTCAGAACAGGTAACATTAAATCTAATATCTCAACGATGTCAGAGTCAGAAAGGGTAATCATGAACGCGGCTTACTCATAAGTAGGTTTCATTTGTGACCATCCATACAGATTGTGGACATTGTAATGCAGAACTGATGATTCATCACTAAGGATCTGCTCGGTTTCCATACACATGGTTCTGAAATGCAATCCTTCATGTCTTTTTGTGAGATCTAGAGAAGAAAAAAAGACAGTGAAAAAAATACTAATATATTATAAGGTGCCCTATATTAAAATGCGTAAAAGGCAACTGTATATTCTTTTGGAAAAAACATTACATTTTGCTGTAAATATTATTGATTTCAACCATTTGTACGTGCTGCCAATGTTATGACAAATGTAAAAAACAGTCTATAATTGTAATTGATTGTAGTTACCATTGTGATTGAAAAAATGTGAAAATTTTTACTATAGTCAATAACAAAATAAAAAACAGAAAAATTAATGTACTCCTAAATGTCTATTATATTAAATCAATTAGATGAGAAATACTGATCAAATAGGTTTCAAAAATGCAAATCCAGGGGTTAAGAACCAACACTAGCTTTTGACCCACTTTTTCTCAGTCTAAGATGCTTTTTTTTCCCCAGAGTTTTGCCATCACTTTATGTTAACAGTTTATGAAGTTTACTGTCCATATAAAAGTATGAGGATGAACACCAAAAGACTGGACCTTTCCCTCCCCCCAAAAAAGTGTTTCTATTTTATCATTTCCCCCCCAGTAAAGAAACATTTTTTTAAAAAAATTTGTATAAAAGCTTTCTATTTTCTATTAGAAAGAATATTGAGAATTTCTAAATCTAGGAAAAGTCTTATGAAAACTAAAGCAATAATTTTAAACACTTTAGAGATGTGTTCTTATAGTAAAACATTTTTCTTGATTTTTCTTCCCAAAATAGTATTAGATAATATTGGCAATGGATTGAAGTGTGGTACAGTGTGCAGATGGGTAGTGAGAATTGGGGATGTGGATCCTGTTCCCCAATAAAAAATTACATAAACCTTGTAAATAAATTAATAATATTACATTAAAGTCAAAGCAACAATATTGTACCTGGCATATAAGGTGGATAATTTAGCTCTTTATTTCTGCATGAAGTAGTTGACCCATGTATAAAACTTGATGGTTCATTCATATCCTTTAAAAAAAGGAAGAAAAGTAAACAGAAAACAAATTTAGAAATTGTATTCTTAAAAGAACTAATTCAGAGGGCCAGTAAGTTAAAGTAACATATTTGAGTAATGACATTTAATCACTTCTAAAAAGCAAAAAAATAAGACATTTTAATGATACTAAAGACATTAGGTTAGCTCAGTGTTTCTATTTTACAATTCATTGTCTACTTTCGACAAACTTAAAATGTCTAATTTTTTTGTAGATATAATATGTACATAAAAGTGATTTTTTTCTGTTTTCTAGAATGAAGTTATATTATAATAGTGTATATTCTTCTATGTACTCTCTTGAACACTCATGCCTTGGATCAATTCCTTTAAAAAAAAAAACACAAAGGTTTGTGAAATTAAAATCATAAGATTTAGCTTATAATTACAAAAAACTTCAGAGAGTATCTGAGCACACATTTCAGGATCCCAGTACCCACATATAAAGGGATCATCATCTATACTAATAATAGACAAATATGTAAGTTGATGATCGTCACTCCACGACACCTACAGCCAATCAGGAGTGAGCAGGCAAATTAACCCAACAAAGATGGAGGGCCTGTGGGCAGTGCGCACATCTCCGAGCCTGTGGGCAGCACAAGCACACACTAGCTGAGCAGCCGGGGTCCAGGGATGCCACTAGAGTGTCCGGTCCTGTCAGCCCAGCCTTAGGGCAGCTGAAATTCCCAGTCCTTTTGTTTCTGCTGCCCCTGGACAGGAAGTGGAAACCAAGAGTGCAGGGAGCACCAAGAATTATGGGAATCATAGATCTAGTGGCAGCCCCTGTACCGGAAGCAGAAGCCCAGAGCACGGGGAGCACCAGGAAAGCTGGGAATCATAGTTCTGGTAGCAGACGCATTGCTGGATCTCCTAGACATTGGAGAGTTACTGAGCCCTAAGTAAGTTACTGTTGTGGGTGAGGGATGGAGGGAAAGCAAAGGTGAGAGACATAAGTAAAATCAGAGTGTCGAGGAAAAATTAAAAGGAAGATATCCTAAAACTTTTAGGAAATCTCCAGCAATGAAGCAAAGAAAAAAAAGACCACTATTATTCTGTGAGCACCAAACCAAACTGGGTTGGGGTCTCAGACAATTCACTCATATGATTTCAAAGACAGACAGAAACTCCCGGATTGGAGAGGGCTCCCCTGAGGGCTTCCAGATTGGAGAGGGTACAGGTCAGGCTGAGGGACCCACCCCCATGCATGAATTTTGTGCACCGGGCCCCTAGTCTAGTCATATATTTGCTACCATTTAAAGGTTATTATTCCATCTGAAGAAAATATTATATTTTCTGGATCAAGATATCTTTCTTGGAGATATTTTAATTGGAATCCCTTATAGTGCATAACTTTATACATGAAATAAATCTGCATTCATCACTAATTAAAAAAAGCAATGCTTTATACAATTTTATATTCTCAAGACGTGCATATAGCAGCACCTTTTTAAAGGCTTCTTCAATTAAAAACAAGTAAATTAATGTATATCTGTTACAAAATCAACAAAGAAACATCACCTCCAAAACTCTAGAGAAGTATTACGTAAAATCTCTTGTAATAAACATTTACTTGTGGTAAACTTTTATGCTATATTAAAATTATATTATCAATCTTATTAATAATATTTTAAAGTTACACCTAAAAGTAAGAGATTGTTTGAGAAATAATTTTGTCTAATATGTAAGAGATTATGATTTCTTACATCATAGAGAGTTGAGTGTGAGATTTATACCTACACTGAATGAAATTAAAATACATATTTAAAAGCACTATGAATAGTTAGAAAATTAGTCTATTTTGGTTCCTTGGTCAAATTGAAAATATTAAACTTGAATATTCCTAAAATAGCATTTATGTAGATAAATTAAATTGGTAAAACTGTATCTTAGCAGTCCCTTGAATAAGAAAGCTTTATGAGAATTGAATGAGCTAATTTTCACAAATACTTTGTTGATATTATTAGAATCTAGTAAGAATTTTGTATAATGAATACACAATAAATAACTTAGAACAGTGATTTTCAACATTTTTCATCTCATGGCGCACATAAACTAATTACTAAAATTCTGTGGCACACCAAAAATACATTTTTTTGCCACTATGACAAAAAATAGGTATAATTTTGATTCATTCCTACCAGATGGATATTGTTGTGTTCGCTATTGTCATTTTTTTTTATTAGATAGAAGTCAGTGCCCTTGACAAAATAGGTATCACATATTCTAAAATTTCTTGTGGCACACCATTGGGCCTGCCATAGCATACCTAGTGAAAATCTCTGACATAGAATATAAATTACTCAGTGTTTACTCACAATCCACAAGCCATCAAACTTCATCTGGTCATTGTAGAAATCTATGATTTCCCTTTCCCACCACTCTGCCGTGGAGCGCCTGAAGAAATCTGGAAAAGCGACATGAGCTCTGGAAGCCTGCAAAGATAAGATTTGCACCGAGAATTATAAAATCAAAAGAGAGACCCTGCGCGTCTAAGTCAGACATTTGTCTGTCAGATCCACGAGATGTGGACAAGTGATAAGAAAGGCAACCTGATATCACCTTTAGTTCCGTAAACAGACATGATTTTCCTCCAAGCACCCAGCAGCGATGGAGAGTAAAAGAGAGAGAGAGAATAGCCTGGGGCTCTTTTACAGATTGTAAAGAAACAGTTCAAAACATACAGAAACATATTTCAGCGCTTCTTAGATAGGGAAGTTTTTACACCTTATCCTTAGAGCCCTTTACAGTAGCTCTGTCATTGTTGGGCATGGTGAGGAGAATTAGAAAATTGGCCATTACTTTTACAGGAAAGTATTCAAAATGAACAACTGGTCAAAGTGATCATTAAATCCATGTGCTGAATTTCTTTTAGTCACATAATTATTGAATGCAAAACTTACATTAACAGCTTCATCTTCAGTCAGACTTTCATTTATCGTTATATTAGGCAAATCTGGCCAAACCTACACACAAAAAAAGAAGAAATGGGAAAACAGTTTAAAATAACTTCAGTATGATATGACTGTGTTGTAAATAAATTATAATAGAGTTTCAGAGGCATATTATAGACTCAAGATTCCAGATCAGTAATTCTTTCATTTATCTTTTTCAGTTTTTGTTTTGTTTTGTTATATGTGCTATTTTCAAACTATTCCCATTTCCCATATTAGCCTCTAGTATAATATGGTAAATAAGAAATAAAAAGCCAACCGTTGCAGTAGGTAGTGATTTTGAAACAATTCATGAAATCAAAGATCTGGTGAAGCAATAATATGAAAACCATATACTAAACTTAATTTAATGTAGTATATGAAAACTGTTTCTATAATTATTCCAAGGTTAAAATATAAAAATAATAAATATATATTTATGTAAAAGTAATGAAGATCTGAGTTGGATGATGTCATGCTGAGGCAAATATCTTGGTTCACAGTTAATACTAAACCCATTCTCCCTTCCCTCCACCTCCAAGACCACCCCTGCCCCAGCCCCCTTCCAACAATGTTTTCCTCCACCTCAACCACAAAAACGTAAAATTGAGACCCAATTCAATCAGGCTCAATATCTGAGAATTTGATTCTATGTTGCAAAAAATAAGAAGTCCCATATGAAAATGTAAATTATCCTCAAAGGACTAATTACCTGTGAAGGATTTGTTACTGAAAGTGGAAAAACTAGAGATTAGAAGCATACAAAAAAAGTACAGAAATATACTTTATAAAGTGGGTAGAACAAAATCCC